ATTGAGTTGGGATCCATTAGCCCAAAACTCGTTAAATGATCACTTAGAAAGCCCATTAAAGTAGAAAAAAAAAATCACCAAGAAAGAAAGAGTTAAAAATAATAATAAATAAATAAATAAATAAATAAAAATAAAAATACTAATAAATGTTTTATATATATCGTTATAGTTGTATATATGGTCTTGGAAAATATTTTAGATCAAGCAACTTAAAAATTATTTAAAACAAAGAGTTAACATGTTCTTTTTAAAACTTTTAAATTAAATTTCTAAGTTTGGCTTGATTTTGTATTGCTATAATGAGAAGATTTTCTTGGAAATATACCTTAGAGTTATATATAAAAACGTTTTCTTGAGTGATAACTGGTTTCAATTAGATTGTCTAAAGTTATCAAGTGAATTTAGTTATTTACTGACTTCTTTAATTTGGCAAGTTGACCAAATTTTGTGGGTATATTCACTGCAAACCCTCACGAGACTATAACTCGTCCACTAGGATAACCTAGGGGTTTAAAGGCTTGTTGTATGTGCTAAATACAATCGCGATTCCTGTCAAAGTGAGTTAGGTTTTCTTTCATTTTTCTTTCATTGCTAGAGAACTAGCAAAAGTTTAGGTATGGGGGTATTTGATAATCATATTTTATTATAATTTTATACCCTTATTATCTATTTTATATGAATAAATATGCCATTAGTAATTATTTTTATCTTTAATTGCAGGTTAATGAAGAATAAAGCCCAAGATCTCTTCTCTCAACAAAAACCCATGAATTAAATGAAGAACACAAGCAAGAGCCAAAAAGCCTAAGCCCAGAATCAAGCCGAGTAGCCTGTAGAAGCCGGAGAAAATAAAAAAATCAAATATGAAAAAAAATATATTCAAGATAGTTGGCCGCAAAGAAACGACGATATCTCTCAATCGGGAAGGTGGAATTTAACATATTATATATGAAAATCGCCTATCTCGACGAGACGAAGTCATCCGTGAAGGCAGAAATTTGATAGGACATCGATGCTAGTATCGATGTGGCCATCGATGCGGGCATCGCTGACAGCATCGATGCTGGCATCGATACTGACAGTTCAGTTACAGATCAATGGCTAATTTTTGATGGTTTTGGATAAGGATTCAAACCAAGGGCTCTCATTCATTAATGTTTACTATAAGTAGGGATAGAGAGTGAGGGGTTAGGGGGTAAAAATTTTTGTAACTCCATTTGGAGAGGAGGGCCACTCTTAATTGAGAAGGCCTTTCAAATTTATAACTTTTGTTATAATTAATAAAATAATTTTTTTATCACTTTAAATATTTTTTCTCTTTGTTGGATGATGAAGATGGAGATGAAGAATTATTTAGAGATTTGCATTTCTTTTATTTTTCTCTTTTATTTCTTTTTTATTGCTTATTAGTTTAGATTTATTTCTATGCTTGTAGTTAGATTTTATTTTCTTGTTAAATAGCCAAGAGGCTAGAACCCTCTTGCCTTAGATTTATTTCATACTTATAGGTTAGATTTATTTTCTTGCATTTAATTCTTAGAATTTATTTTGTAGTTTAGATTTTATAATTTATTTTGTAGTTAGATTTTAATTTCTTGCACTATTCACCTTGAGGCTAGAACCCTCTTGGGTTTAGTTTTTCTTTTTGTTTATTTTTATTTTCTTTGATTCGGCTTGAGGCTAGAACCCTCTAGGGAATTACCATTTTATTTTCTTGTACTATTCACCTTGAGGCTAGAACCCTCTTGGATTTAGTTTTTCTTTTTGTTCATTTTCATTTTCATTTTTTTGATTCGCCTTTAGGCTAGAACCCTCTAGGGAATCACCCTTTTCTAAGAAATGGATTCAATACTAGATTACCCATATCTTTAATTAAATCCGCCATCTTTAATTTCTTGAATTTTTTTAATTCTTAATTCTCCTTTTTGATTCTTGATTTTATTCATCTTTCCTTGTGAAAATCATTCATTCTTTGTCACATCCACTCTCACTTACATTTCATGCCGATTTACACACTATCACTTCCACTATCTCTATCTCTCCACAATCACATCCACTCATCACTCCTGATTGTTACGCACACAACATAAGAACCGATTCTAGTTTTCTCCTACAAAACACATTCCTCGTGGGATCGATAACTTTTTATACTATAACTTGACACGATTGTGCACTTGCAATATTTTTGGTACATGTTTATGCCGCATCACCCCCTTAAACCCAAACACAAATCATCATCAATCTCACACACTTCATTATATGTTTATTTCTTTTCCTTTTGTTTGATTTTTTGGGGTTCTTTGGTGGGTTATTTAGGGAAATGGCCATGCCCAGATGAATTTTCGTTGATTTAGATTGTTAACTTTTGATTGTTGATGAATTGTGAAGATTTCTAGTTGTATTTTTGATAGCATTGAAATTGTAGGTCTTATTTTGATTTCTTCCCCTTGTTTGTTTATTCTTTGTTTGATTTTTTCTTACTAATTTGAGGGAAATATATACCCAAGTGAATTTCATAGCTTTTTGTTTATGTCAAAAACTTACTTATGTGGGTTAGAGTGGATTTAGGAGACCATAGGGTCTGTCAATCCCTTTTTATGGCTGATCACTCTGAGCAGAAGTAGATTCATACACAAATGTGGGATGTTAGGGGGTCAGAGTTGTGTTCTCCTATGGTTCCCTCTCCTACGAAGTTAGCAATGATCTTACGCCTCGTTTGGTACGCGGGAATGAAGTCAAGTGAGAATGGAAAGAAGGTAAGAATGGAATGTAATTGATGTGGGAATGGAATGCACATTCTCATTCTCATGTTTAGATGCGTTTAAATAATGAAACGGGAATGCCAATCTTATTCTTATTCTCATGTTTGGTATTATTTGTTCACAAGTGAGAATAAAATTTAGTTTTCTAATAATGCCCTTACCAAAACAAAAAAAATTAAAAATTTTTAAAACATTTTAAAAATGACTAAATAATTTATTTTTTAGAAAAATAAGTTTTATAGAAATGATATTTTTTCCTTAGAGAAATAAATTTGCATGTAATAGTTATATTTTGGCACACCGTTTCGGTAACAATTTCGGAATTTTGGCTTACAAATTGAAAAATAATTTTCATAGAAATTATTTTAATTATAAATAATTATAATTTTACTTTTCTAACTTCTAATGCTACATGTCTATTATTTGTACGAGCAGCTAATGTTACTAACTTCATTGTGCGTTAGTGAAGAGAAGAATGCCTTATAAGAGATATTTTATATAATTGGGCACTCTTCACAACATCTCCTGATAATTTTTTTTTGAGATTTCATGTTCGGGGGGAAAATAAAGGGAAAATAGTGCAATTTATCATCCATGTCAAGATTAATATAAACGATAGTATCTATAGTTTAAAATTTTATATGCATAAACTATCACATTCGATAAATTATTAGAAATATCCAAATTCTAATCAAAATATCCATAAAATAGTATGAGCAAAATAATTGGACAGCCATCAAAGTATCAAAATATTAAGTTTTGAAATTGCAAAATGATAAACTAGTTTGTCACTCCAAAGTATATTGAGTTTATTAAAAGATATTGGAACTAAGGCAAGGTCCGCGTTAATATACTTCTTACGAACGAATGAACAATATCAGAGATTTATTAAAAAAAATAATATCACAATATATTGGAACTATGGTAAGGTCACTGATATAAATTTACTTAGGAACGATGTTTGTATATTGGAACTTGGGCAAGTTATATTCATGCTTATATTTATTTATATATTTGTACTAGTAGCTTAAGATAAGTTATTTTTTATAAAAATAATTTTTATATGGGAATTTATATCTATTTGTATCTTTTAAGGAGAGTATAATTAGAATTTATTTGATTATTTTTATTCACACTTAAGTGGGAATATCAATTCCATGTTAAATGGTTGGGAATGGCAATTCCCACATAAAGTGGGAATTTTAATTCTAACATCTAAAAATACATCGTGTTTGGTACGCGGGAAAAAAGAGTTGGAATTGCATTCCATTCTCACTCATTCCCGCGTACCAAACGAGCCCTTAAGGGAGAAAGTATATGAAAGAAATATTTTTTTATAGTCGAGAATAGCTATGCTATGCACAAGATAATCTGCATATTTATATTGAGCCGAAAAGGGTATTTGGGTAACTCCTGCTAGGTGGCTGACACTTTACACTCATCGGTAGCTGGTGGCCCGAGTCATTCTTGCGTTTAATGCGACGACGATGGAATGACAAAGGTGTTGGCATGGTCCGAAGAGTTATTATGACTTCGACGGGGGAGTAATGATGGTTCTGACTATGTATTTAATACAATTGTGACTAGTTGATGTCGATGGGGGAAGACAAAGCAAATAGGTTCCCCCCTTGGTTCAAGGTGCGTCGCCGGTTCCAAGTGGATGCGCCTTTCGTTTTGGTCCCTTGAGAGAGTCCGAGTGAGGACGCCTTTGGCTTTTGAGAGAGAGCCCGAGTGATGAAGCTTTTCATTTTGGTCCTTCAAGGGAGTCTGGGTGAGGATGCCTTTCGTCTCAGGCTTTTGGGATAAAGCCCGGGTGAGGATACCTTTCATCTCTGATCTCAAGGTGCTTTAAGGAGGGGAACCAACGTACGAGAGACTTGGGTTGGGTTAGTGTTATAATGCTTATGTTGGATAATTGAGACACGTGTTGTTCTCTCAAGAGTAGTTTATACATAGCAATTTCTTTGATACAACACTTTCTTTTTTATTTATTGATTGATGAGAAAAAGAAAATTTTATTTTGGGAAATGAATGTTGTTTGGGGCTTAAACGGGTGGGGATATTTAGGTAATTATGCACCCCTGGTTTCCAAACCTAACCAGGTTGGGAGTTTGAAGGACAAAATTAGCAGAAGAATTTATCAACAAATTAATGCAATTTGAGCGACAAATACAAAATATAGAAATATGAGGGACTTATATCATAATAACTAGTATTAATAATAATCCCTTTAATATAAGTCCCTTTGAACCGAAGAAGACGACGAATGAACCCACACTCTATTTCATTCTCAATCTCCAACTTCTCTCAAATTTCTTCACAAATAATCCCCAAATTCAAAACCTAAATCAAGTGATAATACAGAAAGAAAGAAAGGAAAAAAAGAAAAAAGAAAACTTATGAATCGATCTCAAAAACCCTAACCCTAGATCACCTCCAGCTATGAATCCCCCTTCTTCATCCCTCAGCTCTCAACCTCCAGGCCTCAAGACCCACTTCAAGACTCCCGAGGGCAGGTACAAGCTCCAGCTCGACAAGACTCATCCCGCCGGCCTCCTCCACTTCTCCCATGGCAAATCCGTGTCTCAGGTTAGAGCTAGGGTTAGGGTTTTGATTTCTTGCTTCTGGATTCATTCTAATGAGATTGTGTTCAAATTTCAGTTGACGATTGCTTGTTTGAAAGAGAAACTGGCGACTCAGACGCCGACGACGCCGACGACTCCGAGCTCGAGTGGGGTAGTGAGGTTGGCGGCTGCGAGGCTGCTCGGTGCGGGGAATGGGAGCCGGGCGCTGAGTTTTGTTGGAGGGAATGGAGTTAGTAAAGTGGGTTCTGGCAATGGGAGGGTTGGTGGTGCTACATTTGGAGTGTCGAATGGGTCGGGTGGGTCTTCAGCTGTGGCGAATCATGACGAAAAAGGGACTTATTTGATATTTAATGTTGGGGATACACTCTTTATCAGTGATCTCAATTCACAGGACAAGGTTTGGTTTTCAAATTTGCATTGTTCTCTGAATTATACCTAACTATTCATTAACTGAATGGTTCCAATTCTCAATAGCTGGCATCCGTAAACTTCCATTGTTCTGGCTAATACGTGACACAATAAGCAATTGATAAATTTCACTACATGTGCTTGCTGTGGCGGATCCAGGATTTTTAGAAAGTAATGTCACTGCATAAGTAATAATTTTAAAAACATTGCAACTTCGATCCTGAGGAATTTTCATATTTTGGGAGAAAAAACATAATCGCATCATTAGTAATTTTATCAAGTACAATTTTCTCAATATATGTTAAAAAAATTGCTTTTGTTTACCATAGCAAACTACTAAATATTATTAAAGTTCTTAACAATATTATTCAATAAAAAAGTGAACAAACATGTTCTTTTTAGTTATTGATGATCATCTCAAACGATCATAGTAATTCCCAATATATGTCTTGGCTTAATGTTATCATTTGCTGATGAATTCCTTTCCCCCCAAATTATTCTTCTTATTATTTCTCGACTACAGATTTTTTTATTTTTATTTTATTTTGATAATCATATTGTTCCCTATGTGTTTTTGTACATATGATATGATCAGGATTGACTAATATAAAGACATGTAATCTCTACATGCTATCAAGAAGTAGTACTTCAAATTACTTCAATTGTGCTCATTGCTTCCTTGCATTTCTAGGGCATTAATTATGTGCATACTCTTTTGCTTTTATGACCTCTCTAATCATGTGTCAATAGGCCATTAGATATGTTATGATTCTGAACTGAATCTAGTGCATGAGAGAGCATTAACTGGGATAAGCTTATAGTTACATTCTGCCATGAAGACTATGGATTTGGCACATACAGATGACCTGACATTGGAATTTTAGAGATTTCTACAATAATCTAGAATGTATAAAATAGAATGGAAAGTGTAACATAGTCCTGTTTGTGATTGTTTCATTATTATTTTGTGTTTTGTAATATTATCTTCCAGTTAACTAAAATTGAGTTTAATCGAAGACAAGTTGGTTCTTTTGACTTCTTTGATTCCCGTCACTTGTTCATCTTCTTATGTCTATGCTTTCCTGAAAGATATACTTTGGACAATTTCTAGAGCTAACTTTATTTTATGAAGAAGATAAAGAAATTTTCGCCTAGTGTTTGACTTTGAAATTTTTGACCAAGTAGAATGGAGAGATATATGGATGTTATTGCATGCCAGACCTACATAGATACATACCTCTGTAAGTATATATGTACATATGTGTTCATTCATATCTTATCAGTCACATATACACTTAAAGGAAAAAAAGCCAACTCGTTTTTACTTTATATCATATCATTGACATTGTTAAGTAGAAATATGCAGCATGCATAGATATGTTTAGATGACCATAAAAAGAACTTCACTTGTTAACACTTCTTCCTACTCCTCCAACGTAGATCCATTCTAGATACTTGTGTTTTTGGTCAGTGGAAAGTTTTATTTGTTCAAACTTTATATGTACATCATAATGCTCAGTCTAGAATATATTAAGAATCACATGACGTAAATGAAAA